TTATTATTAATTTTTTTATTATTAATTTTTTTATTATTAATTTTTTTATTATTAATTTTTTTATTATTAATTTTTTTCATCCTTTGCAACTTTCTTTACCCGATAGCAAAATCTCAAAATTATCGATTTTTACCTCGTAATGCATTCGAAGAATTGCTTTCCAAATATCTTAATTACAAGTTGCGACATAAAGTCCTTATGACACGTGAAGACTTTAATATAATAATCGAGAATGCGAAAGACCGGATCGTTATTAGGCACATTTGTAATACGCGATCTTGGAAAAACAAATTAAATTTGACTCAGACCTAATTGTGTTTATCGGGTCTCAACAAGTTTCCAGAGTTGGAGAGTATATCTTCAACGCTCATAAGCGTTCGAGAAGCGTCTATTATGCAATCCTCTTTATAAGTAAGTAATATTCAATGCAATTGCAAAGATGCGAGTGACAAAAATAATTGTAAATGTAAAAAAACGAATCATAGATGCAAAAACTTCATGTAATGCTTTAGAATTAATTAATTTGCAATGCACTGTGTTATGAATAAATCTATCCTAAAGCGACTTAAATTCTAAAATAACATACGCGATGAAATAATTTGGAATACACTTAATTTGTATTGTATTTAAAAAATTATAGTTTTGATATCGTAAAAAAAAAAAAATGCTGTTACTTAAATTTACGAAAATGCTTTAGGGACCATGTTACAATTCTAACCTTGAGTGCGTATATCGTTATTCTCGCAATACGATGAATAGCAGGCCTACCGAATAATTGGACTCAATCAATTGATTTGTGGCGCAGTCACAATTTTGGTCAATTTTACGTAATTGGATTACATATCGATATCATATATTCGCCATTAAGATTATTAATAACAGTAAATACATGTGATTTTTGATTTTTCGCTATTTGACAGTCGAGTTACATCAGAAAATTGAATTTAATTGCAATTAATTGCAATTACTTCGTCATTAATTGGGCTTCAATTAATTTCATGATAATTTTAATTGATTTTAATTGTATGATGCATGACAAAAATCAATTGCAATTAATTTTTCGGTAGGCCTGATGAATAGTGTATCTTGAGGAAGGCTATTAGAAAATTATCTAAAAATGGGAATAGATTTGAAATTTTTAATCATTTCATTTATTACATCTAAAACTTCAGTGATTACTTAATAATCAAGAGTGCATAAATAAATAAAGTGCATATTTAATCTATGTTAATTAACATTAACTATAGCAAATTTAAATAAAATCTTAGACTAGTTATTGAAACAATCCAATTGTTCAAAGCATCTAAAAACTATTAATTTCTTTCTCAAAGGTTAATATCTATAATCGTCAGCACTAATTCATTATCAATTATCATCAATTGGTATTAGTCGTATGTCCCCTTGATCTATCATGATTTGAAGAACCGTTTGTATAAACTACTTTAGCCAAACAACTATTCTTTAATATTTGTTGTTTTAAAAATTTGTCGTTAAAGCTCAAATGCAAGATAAACCTATTAGGTAATCCGGCAGGCTTTTCAATTGACCAATTTAGCTCTGGTATTTCTCCTTTCAAATATAATTCAATCTCTCGTTCGAAATTCATTAGCAAAGTATATCCGACTCCAGCATAGGGTAACAATAATTTTCTAATATTTTCCCGAAATGGTGCAGTTTCATTTTTAACAACATTTAAGTTGGGAGTTATTAAATTAAATATCGGTGGCTGTCTATCATGATAAAAAGTGATGTAGATATGCTTTTCAAATAGACCAGCCAATTGGTGCATTACGTCAAGAAGTGAATTTAGAAATCCATTAACATTGTCAACTACAGCTTTATTGGCGAATGTAAGTGGAGAATTGTGAGTATTGTAAGAATCGTCATCATCATCATCATTATCGGGAACGGCTGGAATGAGAAAATATTGCATCTCTTGTTCAAGTTCTGATCGAGAAAATGGAAATATGTATGATGGAATAGTATTAACATCTCTTATTTCCGATCCCTCAGATGATTTTTTTGACTTTTTTGATTCGAAACTTGTGTGATTTGTGGAATCATCATGATAAGCAATTGTTTCTGGCCAATGAATCATTCCGGTGCGATAATATTGAAGAATATGACGAAATAAATAGCCATCTCTATCAAAGAAAAATTCGTTGCCATTTATCGGATGAAGCATTTCTTTATTTCGATCTGCGAACATAATCCCAAGAAGTGTTTCTGGATATGCCGTCAAGGTTGACCGAAATGTTTCATACTTGAAGTTTATAAGATGTTAGTATTTCGTAAACCATAAAAAACCATTTTCATATTTTTGGACATAAAACCTTACCTTAACGCCGCCAACATTCAATATAATCCGATCATCAGCGTCTAATTTCTTCCCAACACCATTTTTAACGCTGATTTCCTCATTCATAAAAGTTTTTTCAAGTTGGTCTGATATTTCTTCTAACATTATTATTAGCTATATACCGATAATTACAAGAAAATAGGTCTACAATGACTATCCTACCAGAATTAAAAATTGTAATGCCATATAAATTTTATTCATTCGTTTTTTTAAGTATATAACAGAAAATCAGGTAAATCCTCAGATATTTATACGTAAAGCTATAGAACGTCATGTGAACAAACCGTTTATATCGAGATTCACATGACCATGCTCTAATATTATTGGATAGCGTGAACATTATTTAATCGTTTATTCGTTTATAGAATCAGGTTATGTTTAGTCGAATAATTAATAGACTAAACTTGGAATGATTCCAATTCCTACCCGGTCTTTATTCAAAAGAACCTAACTGTGGATATTATTACTTTACCACTATAGATCACAATAGATAATATAATTAATACTATAACAATACGATAAGGTAACGGTAAATCCCGACCCCATGATCTAACAACTAGATAGATTTACTTCTACCATTTGATTATAATTATTAGATCGATTAATATAGAGGCTTCCATATATATATATATAGACATTTTATACGTATGTAGTTGTCATCCAGGCAT